CTGACTATAGGGGACCTTTTCCATACGACCTTCGTCTAAAGTAAGGAGCAGATGATCCTTGGCCCTGACTTGGCCGGAGATGGTATGCCCTTTCCACTTTTTGCCCTTGTCCAGGTCCTTATGCTAGAAAGTGGACGATGGCATGGACTGGGCTTCAAAAGCCACCACCTCCCTACTCAATGTATCGTAGGTCATGGTAGGCTGTCTACTGTTCTTAAAAAAGTGTCCGTGCAAGGCTTCAGGCATGGCACGAACGAACCGATTGGGTCTCAGTCACCCCATGTCTAGGGACGGCAACTAACTCATCCATGACACCCTTGAGTGCCCTGACACTCTTCCACTGACGAGAGTGGATAGTTTGCAACTTGTCAGAGGCCCTAAGCCCCCGAGTGACATCTGCAAATCGCTCGCGGAGTAATTTGAAAAATTCGCTTAGGGGAGTGATCATGGAGTAAGTTACCGTGTCATTCTCGCATTTGGCGGCGTGGGCAAGCGATTTGGCGAAGCTAGACGCTTCATCCTTAAGGGCATGGAAGGCAATGAGGACGTGCTCCTCAGGTAAGATCTTTTGGAGGTGAACGTAAGAGTTAATGTTTGCCTCCCAGTTTTCAAAGTCCTGTCCCCTCTTTCCACTACAGGAGTCAAGGAACTACACCTTTATTGGCTCCCTACGTGGACGGGCTTGTTCTTCCTTTGGGGCTGCTGACTTGGCACCCTCTATGGCGCTTGTGCATAATCTTTTTGTGTTCGTTAATCGGGCCTGAATCTCGGTGCCCACGCGCATCATCATATCATGCGCAAAGTCTTCGATGCCTACGCGCATGGACTGCAAGGCTATATCATGGCCCCGTAAATAACTCATTTGCTCTTGTTGCACCCGGAGGATCACTTCCACGTTTTTAGCAATTATCTCCACTTTGTTTTGGAGATCTACTCACATTCCTTTCCAAGGGGATTTCTTCTTCTTCTTCTTCTTCTTCTTCTTCTTCTATTGCCTTCAACTTCTTTTCTTCTTCCTTTTTCAGTCTTTCCATCTCCTCCTCCAACTTCTTCTTCTTCGCCGCCTGCTCCTCCAATAAGGCCAACTTCTTGGCCTGCTTAATCAGCTCCTTCGCCTCTTTTTCTTTTCTCTCTTTCAATAGGGCGGCGGCTTGCTCTTCCGGGAGAGATGGTTAACCATATACCGGTTCGCTTGGTCACCATGGTGAAAGGTGCACAACCAAATGACAGTTCCACTCCTCACCACTTAGACTTCCACCCATTGACTGACTGACTAACTGACCGACTCTCTAAGGACCACAAAATCCTCCCCTTTGTTCCAACCAGGTTACCACAGTCGTTGGAAGCTTTCGCCACCACTGTCCGTTACAATCCTCGACTCAGATGCCCTGCACCTGCGGTCAACCCACCTGGCTTTCACTCCAGTTCAGAACCCTGTCAACTAGGGTATCTAGCCTAGACCTATGGCTATGGCTGTCACTACAGGACTTCACTGCTGATCAGGAGGCATTTAAGGAGATTCCCCATAACTCCTCAGGAATTCTTTAATGTTGCAGACAGGACGACGCGATCAGCAAGTCCTCTCAAGACTTAGACAACCCGTTGTGCAGCCTACAGCTCGGATTTTGGGCCAACCATGCCACACTAAGCAGCCCGCCGGTCTGTACTGGTCCTTGGGAGGGTTAGGCCTCCGGGACGTGTCAGTCATCAGACATGGACAGCAGCCCTACTCAGCCCGTGCGGGTTTGGTCAACGCAGCTCTATGACCACATACACGGAGTTCCTATCACCTGGACAGAAATGACTTAACGCAGAAAGAAGAGACAAACAGACTCGGCAAGTACCATGGGGTGAGTGCACATCCATAGGGCGAGGGGGTAGGTGGAAGGCTTGGCGAGATTATACCAACTCCAACTTGGTCCGATCTCGGTCAACGGCCCCGGTCAACGTCGATCAACGCCTCAGTCAACGCCGATCAACGCTCTGGTCAACTCCTTGGTCAACACGGTCAACACCTCGGTCAACGCTCTGGTCAACGCTCCGGTCAACTCTTCAAGCTCGGCTATGGTTGCCGACCCCTTCTCCTTCGTCTCTCATTCCTTCTTCACTCTCTTTCTTCCTCGGTCTTCG